AGTAACTTTGTAACTACATGTCAACTACATGTCAACTAATTCTCATTAATTTGCATCTACATGTCTACTAACACTCAGAGTAGACTGTTAGGGTAGGTTTAGGGTTAGTAGAATGTTGACAAAGAAAGTGTTAGAAGACATTAAGCAGACAGTCTACTAATACTCTACTAACTGCTAGTTGACATGTAGTTGCAAAGTTACTTACTGTTAATAGAATGTCTAAAGTGGACTATCGAAATAAAGTGTTACCGTAAACTTTTACAAACTTGGAAATGCACACTCGGTATTAAGAACCAAATGGATCCAAACTTTGAAACAGAATTTAATATCTGTAAATGGAGTTATATTTTGTATTGTTGGATGTATGTAAATATATCTGTGTTTAATAGCCTCATTCATACTTTATTAAGGTGTGTTAATTACATTTGTTACATGTACTTACTGTAACAATAACAGTAAATTATGCATAATTACAAGTGACTAACCCTAAACCAAACCCTAGCCCTAATCTTAACCCTATAGTAGTAAGTATAGTGTGTAATTGCACTGTAATACCGTCACCTTAAAATAAAGTGTAACCCAAGTTTTATGACCTTTTTATTAAAGAGAAATAATTCAGCAGATTTTGCAAGGGATGTGTGAATATACTTGTAGGGACTTTCCATTCACAGTAATATGTCTGAATATATTTGAAAAAGCTTGCTACCCAGATGCCATCATCTTTGATTTATGGGTAGTCCGGTACCGGGTAGTCCATTTCTGGAGGCACCTGTGCCATAAGGGGCAAAAAAAAATCAGGCACTGGTCATCGGTAACACTTTATTTTAAGGACCAGTTCTCACTATGAACTAGTTGCTTATTAGCATGCATGTTACGAACATATTGGCTGTTTATTAGTACTTATAAAGCACATATTCTACATGACTATAATTTAGATCCCTAAATCCTACCCCATACCTAAACTTAACAACTACCTTACTAACTATTAAAAAGCAGCAAATTAGGAGTTTATTGAGGGAAAACTCTTAGTTAACAGTGAATGTGTGTTCTCTATCCTAAAGTGTTACCACATCTGCTAAGATGAAATCTTAGTGAATTCTACTGTATATTGCTTACAAAAAAATTTCTCAGAATGCGCAGCAGCTTTTGAATTGCTGTCAAGAAATATTACTTAATGCTGTAGTTACAGTAAGAGCTTAGTGAACTGTGCTCACCAGCCAAACCTTGAGCCCCTTAAATAACTAGAAAGTGTGTTTACAGTAAATATGCTTATAATTGAAATCTAACAGGCAAATATGGCTCAATGTAATGTGTTAATATGAAGCAATTTTCTGTATTTTGTTTTAAGGTTGATGGAAACGCCTATAAACTTAACAGCTATGTCCCGGCAGAAAATTAGATTTTATTCTTACATTGCAAACATGCAGCATCATGAATAAGTGTTTAAAATATATGCACTGTATTGAAAGTATAGTCATAACAACTAAAACATTACACGTGTTGGCATGATACTGGTGTGACAGAGTCATTTACCAAAGCCATCTGTGTAAAGTTATATTCAGGCCCACAGAAGATTCCAGCAATCTGAATCTAAAATTTACCGATTTTAAAGTAAATTTATATAGCGTAATTTTACTGACAAATGTCGAGAGTGCATTATTGTAGCGCGAAAGCACATTAATACAACGCGCAAGCGCGAAACTCTCCGCTCGCACGTGGATTTACGTTGCTCTCGCACAAAACCGGACGCGCGCGCTCAAATACACGTTGCTCTCGCCCGGAGAGAGTGCGTGCACTTAAAACGTGCATATATAATGATTTTATAGAGAGAAGTGGTGTGGCCTAGTGGATAAATATATGGGATGGTGACAAAAAATAATATTAATAATAAACATTTATTTGTATAGCACTTTTCATACATAAAATGCAACTCAAAGTGCTTCACAAGCATAAAATTAAATAATACAATCACACAATATCAATATATCAATATATATCATACGTTGCTCTCGCACAAAACCGGACGCGCGCGCTCAAATACACGTTGCTCTCGCCCGGAGAGAGTGCGTGCACTTAAAACGTGTCTCTCCTCTCACTCAAACTGTGTCCTTTGCACTCACAAATCTCTCTGTGCTCATGCGCTATAGATATTCATTATTTTCGCACCTGCATCAGTTGTAAACTCATCAGTGCAAATGTGTTTCCAATTTAATTTTACAAACTAAAGAACGAGGCTGTATTATTTTGTGTATTACGGACTGTCATAGATATGATGTTTATAAGCATTAAGTTGTATTTTAGCCAGCATATTTCTTTAGTATAAGTGAATTGTAGATTACCCAAACCCATACTCTTAACACATTAGTTGTGTGTCGCACAGAGATTCAGCGATGAGCAGTAATAAGATGCCTCACACGAGCTCTATCGCTCACACCGAGGGCGTCCTACAGCAGCTAGAGGAGGCCCAGGGCCACATGGAGGAGCTCTTCCACGAGAGGAAGATCAAACTCGACATCTTCCTGCAACTGCGCATCTTTGAGCAGTACACCATTGAGGTGAAGTGTGTGTGTGTTTGCATGCTAGATTAGTTTATTTGAAATAATTTTCAGAGATTTATTAAAAATCAACAAATAGTTATTGATCTTGAACCAAAACAACTGGCTCTGAGATTAATAAAAAATATTATATTCAGAGCATTTGAAGAAGCAAATAAAACGCTTATCCCATGAAGCATTGTGAATAAAGAAATTGACACTATTGACACTGTAAATGTAAAATATTATACATTTAAAGCCATAAAATACAAAAAAATAAACAAATATACACTGTAAAAAAAATTCAGTAAAATTTACGGTAAAAAAAACGGCAACTGTGATTTCTGGAATTTTACCGTAAAAAATACGGTAGCAACATTTTAGGTTTTACGGTTTTAACTTAAATTTACAGTTAAATACCGTAATTTCATTAACTGGTTTAATGTTAATATACCAACCTATTGAAGTACTGAAATCTGTTTTGTACCTTTGTAATACACTGATAACCACCAAATGCAGGTGGTGATAAGAAAGTCACATGATGAACCAAAGCCCATCACAAGCAGCTTTTAAATAATAACATATATAGAAGGTGCACAGTGTTATTCACACAAACACTAAACACCATCATGGTAACACACATGAAACTGAAATAATGCAATAAACATTCATTTAACAACATTAGGTGTATATATATATATATATATATATATGTGTGTGTGTGTGTGTATGTAAAATATTAAAAAAATGGCTTAAAATCATCCTAAACTCTCAGATGGGAATTTGTCATTGCGAGATGTTAGGAGAGCAAAGACTTCTTTTTGTAAAGAGATTTGATCAACACAGTCTCATGACAATTTGTATGGATTTAAATTTGCGTGAACTGGTTGTGAAATTGTGCACGTTCATTTACACACATTCACACCTCCTGAGGATTAGGTTTAGGGGTGGACCTTCATGGTGATGTTTTACCTACAAATCATCCAAATTCATACGGAATCACACACTCGTACAGTACTTATGAACTGTCATGTGATCGTGTTTGATCTGATAGAGATATAGACACAGAGGAGAGCCGCACAGAGGAAGTGTCAGGTGGCAGTGCACAGAAACACGGCGAGATGAACCAATAGGATTCAGTCTCCTCTGTGCTGTGATCACCGGTCCGCAGTCACGTGGGCAGCACTAATGATGCTCAGCACAGCTTTCATTTCAATATAAAGAACTGTGTTACACAGACGTTAGACCAAATGTCACCCCTCTCTTCAACTGTGTCTGTATTTAACCCACATTTATTTTGCTCTCTGCTTTCATCTTCATATCATCCCAATGTCCAGCGCTGTGTCTCACAGATATTTTTAACACTGGAAACAGACTTCCTCTCCTCAAAGTGCTGACCCAACTCTCACCCCCCTCTCTCTCACATATGGGTCTTCTGTCCAGGCTTTGGACGCCGTCTGTTCCAGACATTACTGGGACAATCTCTCACACGCCTGTGTGTGTCTCATTCTGCTGCTGGGACAACATTTACAATCACTGAATTAAGCTTTACTAGATGCTCTATATGCATATCATTCATTCATTCATTCATTCTCTTTCTTTCTTTCTTTCTTTCTTTCTTATTTCTACTGACTTAAACTAAACTTTCCAACTGTAGTTCTAGTAAGAAGAAAAAAAACTAAGAAGAAACAGTTATTTCAACAAAAAACATCAAATTTGATCCTTTTCATCTTTTTCACTTCCAAAAACGGTATACTACGGTAAAATTACATGTAATGTCTAATACAGTTTTTCACCGTATATAGTAGGGGAATTTACCGTTAACCATTTAACAGGTTTTTACTGTAGCATTTTTACAG